CTGCGCTAATGGCCTGGCTTCAGTCTCTTGCAAATGCATCATTTGTGGAATAAAATCCTGCCTTCAGCTGCCAGTCTCTCAATGAGGCTGAATTCGACATCAGCATCATGGACTCTTGTCCTGCGAAAGGCTCCAGACCAGCGGTTTTTCTCCCAGTAGTGGTGCCAATTCCCTTCACGGTCTGCTCCGAAGCCAAACACAGACACCTGCGCACGTGCAAGAGCCATCACTGTACAGGTGCTCGGTCAGCCTGAGCGCGTGCAGACCAGTGGTGGTGCAGCAGCAGCACCTGGTCCCACGGGCAGTGCTCACCTGCTGGCAGGCGTGCAGTGCGAAGAGCAGGGCCGTGAAGCCGGTGGAGGGGTACCGCCCGTGATGCTGTGTCCAGTTGTCATGGATGTACTTGAGGAAAGCTGGGCTCAGGATCAGCACCTGAGTGGGAAGTAGAGGAGCCATCAACTGCTCACCGTGCTGCGAATGGGACAGCCAGCCCCTGCCGTTGTCCCTCCTGCTCACCAGCTCTGCCTGCACCCCACTGAAAAACAAGCCTGGTCGCTGCCCAGAGGAGCCCTGCCTGCACAGGTCCTCCTGCAGCAGGAGCCTGCCAAGCCCTTACCTTGTTTCTGTCAGCTTTGATGAACCGGTTCACTCTCACGTATGTGCTGCAAAAGCCAGAGGACAGCAGTGAGCGTGGGGCACTCCCACTGCCAGGAGCGCTCCTGTAGATGCAGCCGGTTTGCAGAGGGTGGCTGTGTCCACCAGCACCTGGCCCCGTGGCACCCCCAGCCCTTTGGGCTCGCCCAGCAGTGTGCCCTGGCCTGGCTCTGCGAAGGGACACGTGAAGAGCATGGCCCCACAGTGGGGACAGCCACCATCCCACCCGTGGGGGTTATGGGACTGCAGGATGCCTGAACCCTATGGGGACAGGTCAGTGCCCACTTCACAAACTGCATTGCAGAGGGATGCCAGAACCTGTGCCCAGGGGCCTTCAGCCTCCCAGGACCGCAGTGCCAGGGCCTCAGTGAGGCACCAGGGTCACCCCATGCCATCCCCTGGGTCTCCAGCACAAGAGCTGCCATCCCCCAAAGCCAACGCACTGTGTGAGCTCTCCAGTGGAGAAGGCGCTGGCCACCCACTGCAGGTCCAGTGGCTTGAAGGGGACGAGGACAAGGTGGACACCGGGCCCGAGGTTCACCGCGCTCTCTGGGTACATGAAATGATGTGTTGTTCTCACGCCAACATCCCGCTCAAAGCCAGCAATCTTTGCTCTGTTCATCCTAGGGGACAGTGGGAAGGCACGTCCCGAAATGAAGGTGCAGGCCACGCTGGTCCCACCAGGCAGGGACACCAGGTCACCCTGCCCAGCAGCAAAGAGGGGACATGGGCAATACAGGGCCAGTGTGTGCCCCAGGGTGGGGAGGCGGCAGGGAGCAGGGCCAGCAGTCCCCTGCCATCACAGGGCTTGTGCTGGCAGATTTCACAGGGTGGCTGGGGGCTGGGGCACGCCAGGGTCCCGGGGAGACAAGGGAGGGCCCAAGCCCCTTCAGGTCACCCACCTCAGCACCCAGTCGTGGGCATCGATCCGCAGTCCATGGCCAGACCCCCTCAGCCACCCCGAGTTTCCCACGACCGCACAAGTCCTGCAGCGAGACGAGTCCCACATGCCACTGGTCAGCGGTGGGAGGACAGTGAAGAGCCGTTGAATTATGGCCTCGAGCTGGATGCCACGTGGAGGACCCTGCAGGGTCTGGGGGAGCAAGGGCAGCCACAGGCAGCATACGCCTCCCCTGCC